GCGCATGTATATCGTGAAGACATTGTTGCCAGCCTAGATCGCTTTGAATGGTGTCAAATAAGAGACTCATTAGTACACCTTTTTCTGAACCACAGAAAGACAGTGCAATGTGAAAACCTATAGGTGGGAGGTGTCCACCTATCACTGTTACCCAAATCTGTTATCCACATTTAAGACAATTTAGTTTCAATAGATTTTTCATATTGGAGCAGACTAGCTTAATTGTAAATCAAGCCTATATCACTGCTTGTACAGATATTTTTCAGTCAATATATGTATATGCATTTTCAGGCCTATTTTACGTTGGTCATGCACATTGAGATTGTATTTTTTTTTTTTTTTTGGATTTTGGATACACATGACATGATGTCAATGTTCACATCACAGAATGATCGTACACTTTCTTCTATTTTAAACCATACTACATGGATGTGAATATTGCTTAAAGTGTTCATGTAACACAATATGACAGGTGTGAGTATGATATTTCTTAACACAAGTCAATATTCACATCTAATAATTTGATGATGTGAATATTCACATCATAACTTCTGATAATGCGAATGGCAACAATGATGTCATGAATATTCACATCTTATGAGTTGATGATGCGAATGTTTACATTGATGTAAACATTGCTGTTAACAGTAACAACAATGTGAACATTCCCAAACTACTTACTAGGTGATCCCTGAATCCATTATCAATTCCTTTCATCCGGTCTCTTAAATTGCTCTTCAAGTGTTGTAAGCAATAACCGTGATGAGCCGATGGGAACACCTTTGGTATAGCTTCTAACAGACCAAGATTACGATCCGAAATAAAAGTAATATGGCGCTTCCCATCAACAACCTTCCCAAGTTCATGCAAGAACCACGACCAATTAGCCGTGGTCTCTGAATCAACAATTGCAAACGCAACAGGAAACAGACCTACAACACAACACCAATACACAACTGTTCACAATATTCCAAAGTGAATAGAAAAACAGTATAAACGAAACAGGTCATGTGAATGTTCATATGTACATTGCCCTCTTTACTATTGCTGTTTTTGGATTTAGGTTCGTAAACATCAACGATGTGAACATTCACATTAACGACCATTAATAATTCATTGTTGATTGTTGAGTCACTGACAATGTTAACATTCACAGTACTGTTCATTAATAGATCAACTAACATTAGTATACACTGATGTTCACATTTTGCTTCAGTTTCTCACCCTTTGATGGGATTCTATTCTTTTTCGGCCTTCCGGGTGGTCTTTTCACAGTTGGTGGGTATATAGTGAAGTCTATGGGATCAAAAGACGGCTTTTTCACCGATGGTATAGGGAAAATGGCACTCGAATATGCTGCACGATATGTCTCTACATGAAAGTAATGTTCCACACAATCATTGAGATTGTAGCGGCTCTTCTGAATGGCAATAACAGCATGGTCACATGGGAATCCGTTAATTTGCCATTTGAAACAAAAACATGTACGCCTCGCAACATCAACTGTAACAGATGGTATCGAATGAACTTCAAACACATTCTCATTGGCTTTGCTAACTTTCCAAGAACTGCTGTGATTGAACGAATCCATAAGCCTTGCTTCAAATATAGGACAAATAAGCTCATTCCATTTGTTTGCTTGGTAACGCCGTACAGACATTTGCCGCATCAACTGAGTACGAATTGTGCCCACCATTTGAGTGATAGGAAGATTACGCGCTTCTTTAATCCAGTTATTAAATGACTCCGCCGCATTGGATGTCATCTCCCCATAACGCATGCCCCTGCACAATATCACAAACATTTTACACCCCGAAAGTTAACAGGTTTGAACACACACCCAACCATACGACATGGTAACTCACATTTAGCCCATAATCCCTCTTCAAAATAGTCACCACTTCATACGGCCGAGTCAACGGCTTGTCCCTCACAATTTCAGATATGGTACTCGACACCAAATCTGAACTAACTCACGGATTCTTCGATGTTCGGACATCCGTACCACAAGTATGCACATCACTAAACCTCTTGATGTAAAAAAAATCATTTGCTCGTTGTGCTCTACAATGTATAGCCCACAAGCACCCCCTCTCCTCCCGCATCGCACACACAGCAGTAACTCTTGTTGTCTCGTTCTTTCACGTATGTGAACTTAAACCCACATTGGATGGCATACTTACATAAAACGTCACGAAATTCTTGTGCACCTCCAACAAACCGTTGTCCTACATGCGTAATACCATTTGCCCAAGGGGCTGACAACAACACCTTCTCCTTATGGTGGCAAAATCTCCGTAGTGCATCAATTTCATCCTCAACCCCCACACGCAGCAATCCCAAACTACTTGACTGACCAATATCACCCTTCAACTCAACCACAACTTCTACATGCTGTACCCCCATTGATTTAGCAAGTAGTACCATGTTCTGAAATTCTTCCTCATTGTCCAAATGACACTTATTAATCCCAGGTAGTTTACAGAACAATGAAATAGAACCAACAGACAACTCATCCCATTTCTCACACAAACACTCCACCAAACGAGAATAACACATTGCGCGGGCAGCATTTATTACAGTTGTACTACAACCATATGTACACACCAATAGCATAAAGGTATCCATCTCCTGTAAAAACACAAAAACACAACAATGAACAGTAATGAAAATCGATATGAAAATTCACATTGTGCAAAAAATAGATGACTACGTGTACAATTCAAGTGCTAAATCCATAATTCACAATATGAAGATGTGAACATTCACATTACTATTAATAAGATGTCAACATTAAGCAAACATCAAAGTACAATGAGAACATCAACAATCTTCACATAATATAATGATGTGAACATTCACATCAGTGTATGATGATGTAAACATTCACATCAGTGTATGATGATGTAAACATTCACATTGATATTTAATGATATGAACATTCACATCAGTTTATGATGATGTAAACATTCACATTGATAAATGAGAACATCAACAATCTTCACATAATATAAACAAGATGTTAACATTTACATTGACACATACACTCTGAATTATATCACACACACAGAGCCTCATTAAGCAAATATCAATTTAAAATGAGAACATCCACATTATTCACATATTCCACATTAACAAAATGTGAACATTCACATTGATATATATACTGATAATCAAATCATCTACACAGAGCCTCATTACGCATGCATCAAAGTCAAATGAGAACTACACATTCTTCACATAATACGAATGAACTCCCCTCCACATAACCACGTAAAATGCATATAATTGAAAAACAGAGCATTCAATCCATATAAATCCAAAAACAGAGCATCTGATCCATTGTACGAATGAAACCATAAACTGAACATGTATTCATAACCAAATTGATACTAACCTTGATCATGCAATCCTACAATCGTACAGAAAGTTGAAAAAAACTGATTTGAACTAGTTATAATCCGGAAAATGTAACAACCGAACACCCTCATCTTCGTCGTCTTCACTCGCAAACCACAGAACCAGACTACAACAGCAAGGATTAAACCCTAGCTCAACCAATCCTTGTAACGAGCATGCAAAACATAAACGTATCTCTCGGAATTGGATTGATGATGAAAAGCGTAAAATAGAAACTGCCAAACTGCATGAGCGAAGAAACAGGCACCTATTACGTATTAACACTGTACATATATATATACAGGGGCAAAATAGTCTAAGAAATTATATTAAATTAGAAAAATGGACCTTATGGAATAAAAAGAAAAGTTTATGGGACTAATTAGGTTATAATATTCTTTAGTGGACCTAATGGGTTATAACAACTCTAGAATAGATTTATCAATAAAAATCCCATTGAAAAATGGACCTTATGGAATAAAAAGAAAAGTTTATGGGACTAATTAGGTTATAATATTCTTTAGTGGACCTAATGGGTTATGACAACTCTAGAATGGATTTATCAAAAATCTCTTTTTTTTATCTTATAGTATTATACGATATTCCCCAAAACAAATATTTACAGAGAAACTCTCATCTCAATGTTATTTATTTATTTATTTATTTATTTTATAAATATTGAGATTGATCCTATTTAAAATAGTGAATTCTATTGTTTTTACTCATTTTTAACCTATTAAATGAGTGAACAAAATGCCAAGACCCTTGTGGCAAGTTGACGTGTAAGGTGTAGTGAGGAAAGAGTTTGAGTTGATAGAACAAAAACACCTTTTAAGTGATACGCTAAAATGTTCACAGGATAGGACAACCACCATATCATGCCTGGTAACCATAATTTGTGCTTGAAAAATGAATTGTCACTAGGCACCTATCCTAAAAGGGGGTTGTCCAGTTGCCCAAATTTGATTGGAGATATATGACACCATCCTCAAGTAGAAATTATCATTATATAAATAAAGAAGATCATGTGACTATTTGTTCATTCAATAATATCTCTTTATTTCTCCATCATTTTTTTGTTTGTGAGATTATATAATTCTTTAAGCTTCTACTATTACTTGAATACACTGTCAACATATAATTTCCGAAACACATGATAATTACTCGATATGAAGGTTTGATATTTGAACATTTGAGTATGGAGTTGATTATTCAGTCTCTTGTTCATTAGTAACCCACCAAGTTATTTAACAATTACCTTTTAAATTATTTACATTAGTTCATATTATTAATTTGCCTTACGGTAAAAAACCTATCAAAACACAACCAAAAGCTTTTGAAAATATTCAATAAAACATAAAATACAACTAATTATAAGAAACTACCGTATCTTAATACAACCAAATTAATCAAATCATGGTACAAATATTTTTATGTACTGGCATGTGCAATATTTTGGTAAAAAGTGAATTTTTCCTAACATATACATGTACTCTAAATGGAATGAGCATAAGATCAATTTGCATTAATAATTCTCACAGTTTCTTTAGTTGTTTCCATTAGTATTTTCTCAAAGGCTTTTGACAAGTCTTTTCTCCATCCATTAACCAACCATCCAATTATGTAAACAATTCAAGACCCAGAATTGTTGAAATACCCATTTCTCATCAAATTCATTTGCTTCTAATATATAAAAGCAAATGTTACACACTGAAATTACACAACTCATCCAATACCCTAGGATTTGAAGAAGAAACAAATAATAAACTAATAAATTGAATTACATAACTAACCATAAAAGACATCAAAGGCCAAAAAATGAGAGCCAAAACACACAGGCATTGCACAGTTTGTCCACTCCAACACAAAGGGTACAACTCCAAAATACAGATCCCACACTTTCATTCATTTGAAGAATCGAACAGAGACACAATCATGTCATCCATGAGATGAAAACTGAGGAACACGGTGGCAAAATTATTCCCGGTTTATACAGCAATTGGAGGATCCTGCATTCATGAGAACAGTAGTGTTAAAACAAGGGGAGAGAGAGAGATCCCAGTAATATATATAACATGGTTTTACAAAATAACAAAATTGACCTAGTAACCGGCAGCCAGGGTACACATGATACATGCACAACATGAAAACAGTTTTAACTTCAGTTCATAGCACCTGCCTGCAGTTTGTGTTTTTTTCTTTATTATAGTTTATTACTTAGCCTACAGACTTTCAACACTACACAGAAGAAAAGACAAATATATAATAACTCTAGGGAAATGACATAGGAACAAAGGAAGGGGGAAAGAAAAATCCCACCTTTGCACTCAAATTTGATACAGCCAAATTCCACTTCTCTCTTGTTGAAAGTACACAATATTTAAAACACAAAAAATAAAATAAAATAAGGAAAATAAAAAAAGAACAGGGGACTTATGAATTGGTGTCCTTGAAAAACCATGCAACTTAACTATGTTTGGGGTTGGTCAGGTATGTGACTGCAGGATAGCTGTTGAATGTGCTTTCAGTAAAGTGGCAAAGGCTGCAGGTTCGGTACAAAAAC